GGATGTAAATAAATGGATCGTGGACTTTAAGGGGGGGGGGGGGGGCGCTACACCTGAAGGCTATCTCGCTCATTACGAGACCGAATTTTACCATATTTCACACATATAACAAGCATAGTAAGGAGTCTATAAAGCCGCAATCAAATTTGAGAAAAAGTTTTGTTTCCATGGATACGGCGGTCATATTGGATTTTGTTGATATGTCTTACGTAATGAATACCGCACTTATCACTCAAGGAAATTGAATGTTTTTTTGCATGCGTGTTCACAAACATTAGATCTAAAAATTTGTTTATTGTTTATTTCCTAAACGAATTAGAAATTTTTTAATGACTTTTTTCCTGAGGTAGCATTCAAGTTTTCAAAAAAATCTGTAAAAATCCACACTCCAGACACCACCAACAAAAATCTATTCCATATATCAAAAATTCAACATGCAAATTTTTAGTATTACATGATCTTCTCTTCATTCTGTGAAAATTTCATGAAGATTGGATGACAAATGGTTGAGTTATTCAAAAAAGTATAGAGAAAAGTCGTGTTTTGAGAAACCAGCCGATAAAGAAAAATAAAATACTGACTTTTATGAGGAAATGGCGGTGCCAAACATGCCTGGTATGGGAAAAAGTACCGTTTTTTGGGGTTCTTATGTGATGAAATAGTTGCAGGAGAGGCTGACGAAGCTAAAATTGCCTCCAACTCAAATTCCATATATAATTTTTAGCCTCATTTTGACTTTGGGGAGTGTAGCCCCCCCCCCCCCCCCCCCCCCCCGGAACGCAGGGAACTACAAGATCACCAAGACTCATGGTACGACGACCTCTGAAAGTCACGGATGACCCAAGGCAACATGGGACTTTTAGATTCTTCCTCTTCTTCTAGGACTATTTCTTCTCATCTTCTTCTTGTTCTCCTCTAATTCCTCCTGCTCCTCCTCCTCATCCCCCTGCCTGCTTCTTCTCTGACTTCTCCTCCCTCCTCCTTCTTCTTCATCTCCTCCCTCCTCCTTCTTCTTCATCTCCTCCTCCTTTTTCTTCTTCATCTCCTCCTCATTCTTCTTCTTTTTCATTTCTTCTCCTCCATTTAGATCTACACCTCGGATCCTCCTCCTTCTCCTCCTCAATTCTTCTTCTTCTTTCATGAGCACTCAACCCGCTGTGAGAAGACGTACAATCAAAGGCGCGAGACCGAATCCGGGAATTCCCAGGGTACCCTCGGGTTTAGCCAATAGTAGCCCGGTTTACGCCCTGCGTGTAGATCTAGTGGCATATCACAAGGCAAGGCAAATCATGCATTTGAAAAATAAATCTGAAAATAAAATACGGTATTTTTTTATAGAAAAGCACTCCCGTTTTACGTCACATCAACTACCGGAATGAGCTCCTTCACCACTTAAGTGCCGTCGGATATACGAATAAGGTCAGTATTTTTAGTTAAAAAGGCTTAGTTTTTTAAGGATTTTTTTGGATAATGCATGCTTTTGTAGTCATTACGGGGGTTTCAGGAGGTCTCCCCCTGACGTGCGAGTACGTAAAGCTGTGTAGTAGGGTGGGTGGGGGTGGTGGGGGGTACAAAGGTGGGGGCCTAGACGGTCAGAGAACAGGCCGCCTTATCGGAAGTTAGTCACGGGGAGATAGAGGCCGAGCGCAGACAACGTGTAGTGCAGAAGTGAGAGGGTGTGCGAGCATCACGCCGTGTGCTTGATTAAACAAGTGTCCAAAATTACGGCATTTACGGTGTATTGTTTCTTTAACACAATTTACTTTCGAAAGGGCATCGAAAATATATATCAATGCTTTAACTGGAAAAATACCAACACTTAAATCATAGTAGGAAAAAGTCTAATAGCGGAGAAGGATGGAGAGAGAGGCAGACAGATGTACACGTGTAAAGGAAAGCATTGTAGTAACTTTTTGCGCGTTTATTAAGCGGTAAACATGAATAGAACAATATTTTAAATGTTTCTCAAGCAAGGCTTTACAATCTTGCAAGCACATGCCACAAACACAAACAGAAACAGACAATAATATAAAATATACGTATAGGTAATTAGAAAACAACACATATTCCACTGGAAACATACACCAACAACACTAGACAG